GGGTAGGCGAAAGAGTAACGTGGGAACCCAGTAGAAAAGGTGGTATTTCAGCCAAACGAAAATTAAATGAAAAATAAATAATAACTAAATGATAACGTGGGAAACCAGGAGAAAAAGGTGGGTAGTGGAGGATTCTTAGTTCTGCAATCTGGCGGGGAGTTATATTTTTTTCCCGCTCAACACCCTGCCACATCAGCTTCCTAAAATCACTCTATGGACAGGAAAATTTGAATGGGGGTGGCGGTTTTACTTTTCAGCTATAAATTATACTGTTGATAAGGGACTGCCAAACAAACGAACAGGGAAATTAGAACATATCCAAACCCCGGAAAACGACAACCCGTTTTACTTTCCTATTAAAATCATCATCCTACCTGGCAATTGGATGCTCCACCAATCGCTCCAGGGCTGGGAAAATAGACCAGACTGTTAGAAAAACCGTGGTCCAAACCGTACCGCATAGTTTGGTCCGGACCGTAGACCGTGAAGTATGGTCTGGTCTGGTCCATGGTCTGTATTATTTTATGATTTGATCTCTTGGTCTGGTCTGGTCTAGACCTCGGTTTACCGGACCAAACCGCAGACCCAACTGACTTGTCAATATGTGTTAACAGCCCATTCGACCACTCTCCAAACTCCCACAACGACACCGAAGTCTCAACCTTAATTTTGTGAATCTCTTCCCTCCTTCATTCACAACCACATTTAACCACAGAGTAGAGATAATCGTGTCTCCATATGACATTATGTTAATGTTTATGACATTATGGTGCAAGCTGGGATGCTTTTACTTTGTATCTTTGTTATGTACTAAGATTTAGAGTATCAAAATTATTCATGCATGTTAGGATTAATGTTTTAAGGCAAATAACAATTATTTTTCTTGGTTATTGGTTCAATTTTTTGTGTGGTTAACTAAACAAATTATTCATTTTTCGTTGAGTGTGGTCTATCTGGACCAGACCGAACCAGACCGCACAGGCGTGGTCTGGACCAGACCGTATAGTCTGTGGTCTGGTCTGTGGTCTATACTTTAGCCTTTCGGTCTGGACCGTAGACCGTATATATGGTCTGGTCTGGACCAGACCGCACCGTTTCCCAGCCCTACCAATTAGTGGTAATCCAATCGTGATACCACTAGTTATGAATATGGAGTTCTCACGTTCGAATTACTTAAACCAAATATATACCACCCTTAGGGGGGAAAAAAACATGAAAGAGTAGTGTTTCATACTTATACCTTGGTTTAGATTTTTTTTAATTACCGTTAGTTAATGAATACCATTTGATATCTAGACTTTGTTTCTTAAATAATAAAAAATTGTTCCATAAAAATATAATAATAATAATAATAATAATAAATTGTTGAAAATTATGTTATAGTACCTACTAAATTTTTCTTACAATTTAATATCTTAATTTTTAAAATTGTATGACTATTTACGTAAAGTTTAAACTATCTTAAGAAAATAGTAAGCTCTTATGCAACACATATCCCATTAGAATATGAAAGCAATAGATATACTTTACTAAAGGCCACCCAACAAATATCCAAATCCATATTGGGGTTCTGTGGATGATATATTTTAAAAGGGGTAAATGCCAAGTTTGGTCACCGGGTGTACAAAAACGTGTCATGTTTAGTCACTGAAAAAATTAATATCAATTTTGGTTACTTAGATTAGTAGAACGGTCCACATTTAGTCACTCTCCGTAAACTTTATCTGATGTGGCATTCAACCCTAACAGTTGACCGTTAAATGTCTGACGTGGCAATTAAAAATTAATAAAAAATAAATTTAATTCATTTAATATTTGCACATCATTAAAATAATTAAATAAAATATATAAATAAATTGTTGTTTGGAAGAAAAAGTAAGGGGTGCAAATAGAGTAAAAAATAAGTATTTTATTATTATAAAATAAATTCATCAAATTTATAAAATATATTTATTATAAAGTAAAAATAATTATAAAATAATTAATATCAATTAATATATTTTAATTAAAGTAATTATTATATAATAGTGCTCAAATAGTAATTATTATAACAACTGGTATAATAATTGGAGGAGCGTTGAAGCTCGAAGCCCAACTTGTAACTGGTCATGCTACAAGGTTCTCGTGTCTAATTTAACTTTAAATTGAATATGGTCAAACTTAGTCAAACACGTTTCACTAACACTTCTTATCTCTAATTTTCAATGCAAATTCGAGTCAACAAGAGATCTCTATTTGACTAGACGAACATTGATAAACTTGCTCTCGGAATCAAACGGTCAACTCCGAACAATGTCTATATTAATGATAACTATAAGAAAAGAAATTGACAATATTAATTATTATATAATTAAAAAATAAAAATCCATAATTTCCCTGGTCCCCCTTCTCTTCCTTCCTTCCCTTGCACCCCAATCGGGGGTGAGTTGAAATCGTAATTCTGCACCTCTAGTTTGCATCCACTACTATTCCAACTTATCAAAATAGGTGTAAATGTGTTAGAAATTGTGTTTACCCCTCACATTTGCACGCTCCTCCCATTTAGGGGTGTACATGGGTCGGGTGGTTCGGGTTTAGTCATTTTAATCACCCGACCCATGCACTACAGTTTGGGAAATATCAAACCCAAACCCACTCAAAAAATTTTAAACCCTACGGTTTGTTTCTAATTGGGTCGGGTCGGGTTGGCGATATTTTTAAGGAAAAACCCAACCCAACATAAAATATATAATTATTCTACATCATAAAAATATTTTATAACTAATTAAAATTTCAAACGAATGAACCAAGGTGAAAGGTATGAAAATTTACAAACGTTATTTAAATTTTAGTAAAATGTTATTTATTTCAACATATGTCTTGTTTTTTTCACGATATTATTTTGAAATAGGCTAAAAATGTTATAAACAAACGCATCCATCATATGTTATTCTATTAAAATTGTACACAAGAAAAAGTATTACGTGAATCATTACTATATTCAATTTATGTCTAAACTTTAAGTCGAAGAATGCATTAGATTAGGGAGATCATGAGAGAAAAACATGGCGAAATATCTTAATTTTCTCATAAGTATATGACTATATACTACATAAATATTTTTTAGATCCGAACTCATACTAATAGTTGGAACACGGGTTGGGTCGGGTTCTACGGTTTGTGTAATCCAAAATCCAAACCCAACCCAAAAGAGGCGGGTTGTACAAAAGAAAACTCTCACTCAACCCAAAACCTTCGTTTTAGCGATAAATACGAGTGGGTTGGTTCGGGTTGGACGGGTGGGTCGGTTTGCGGGTGTGTTTGTTCACCCCTACTCCCATTTACCCCTCTTTCGAAACAAAGTGAAAGTGTTTTCTCATTCGTTTATCATAAAAAAATCAAATTTACATCTATTTATTTCAAATAACATATAATAGTGGGTCGACCCGTCCCATCCATATCCGTGCGAGTTTTACTCGCCCGACCCGTATTAGCGTGGGACGAAGCATGGTATTGTCCGGTCCCATTGCCATCACTAGCGGTGGTTAGTTCAAGGGGAGGGAGAAGACAAAATTGAAAAAAGAAGAACGCCAACTGGCTTATATATAGAACAAAGGTTCACTAAACCAACCACCAGGTCGTGACACGTAGGCCATATCCATGCATGCAAGGAGATAACATCAGTAGCCAAGTGGCAGCACACTCATAAATCACAATGGCTATTGATAATTTGATATACAAGAGCAGAAGAGCTAGCTTTTACTCATATTTGGAACCAAATTTTAGCCAGGTCGATCCTCAACTTCAATCTGGACATCCCCCTTTACATATGTGGCAGTATTTGAGGGGATCGATATCCTTCAAACCAAAAACAAAAAATGGACACGTGCTTTTTTCCTCCGACCGACTGGGCGACGTGAGATGGCCATTAAGGCTATTAAGGGTGGGCATCAGTGGTGGAGGCAGGATTTGAAACTACCCCTGTCCTCTTTTTAAAATATAAAAATATAATTAATATAATCAATAATTAATATAAATAAAGAAATAATCGACTAATACAATTGATGTTTGCATAAACAACTATGACGAATTTTCATTGGCAAACTGATCGCCAATTCGACTTCGAAGCTTGATATTAGTATAGTTCAAGCTAAAAATGTTATTTCTACACTTACAGTTGCAACAGGTAGAATCAAAACTAGTTTCAGAAGCAAATAAACTGACGGATATGACTTACGTACTTTTGTCTCCATCATTATTTGAGACAATTCATCAATTTTTTTCAATTAATGAAATCTCATAACATCATGATAATACCCAACAAGCTATTGTCGAATAATTATTATGAATGGAGGAAATAAATTAACTATTTTTATCAATTATTAAACAAGTAATGAACTGCGATGTAGTAATAAAATATCCTTAATTATATTACTTGTATGTGTTGCGTACATATATAGGGTATATTTTACCAGCCAAATATTACCCCTGTCCTGGGACAAGGACAATATAGGCTGGCTCCGCCTATGGTGGGCATTAGTCATAATTGAATTTATATTAGACAGAATTGAATCAAATGAACCAAAAACAAAAAATTTAACCGTTGTTTGCAGGAAAAAAGAATTAAGGGTGGGCATTAGTCGAATAGGTCTAGAACTTAATTGAATCGAGATAGGATCGGAAAAATCATATGAAAATTGAAGATCGGAATCTGATAAATAAATAAAAAAAATTAATTTCAGTCCACGTTTTCCCATATTTAAGATAATTTACAGATAAAAATCAAATTTAAATATATCCGATTTAATCAATTGGACACAAATACGGTGTAAACCGGATCATTGCACAATTTAGGCATTCGGTTGCATTTGCTAGTATTATAGATCAATCAACTTACCCGCGGGTTCTATTTCGGGTTTCCCCTATTTTTGGGTCCAAGTACAACTTTCCCATTCCGAGCCAGTAAATTGTAGTTAGTAGTTACAGTCCATCCCGTTTGGTCCTCTCCTCTCCCGTGGCCGTGGTTTTCTTTAAAAAAAAAAAAAAACAATAACAACAACAACAAAACACGAGGTAATATCTCGACACTCTCGGGCCTCGGCCAGTGCCTTGTTAGCCAATGAAGTAGCTAGCTAGTTCTCCCGCAATTAGGGCGTGCGCGAAGTCGAGGAATTATAAAGATAGACAAGTATGGGGAGGAAGAAGGTGGAGATGAAGCGAATCGAGAACAAGAGCAGCCGCCAGGTCACCTTCTCCAAGCGCCGGAGCGGTTTGATAAAGAAAGCCCGCGAGATCTCCGTTCTCTGCGACCTCCAAGTTGCTCTCCTCGTCTTCTCCCCCCACGGCCGCCTTTACGACTTCTCCGCCGGAGACAGGTGTTCATTCCTCCTGCTTAATCTCCACTTCGTTCCACCATTCTTTACTCAATCGATTAATTTATTAATTAAGCTCTAGGTTGAAATCGAGCGTGAGTCAGTTTTGCTGTCTCTTTGGAGAAATTGCACTAATCGATGATTTCGTACGTTGATAGTTGGGCAAAGAAACATATTATACTTGGCAAAAGATGGTGCAACTGCAACATATTGTTTGGTTATGTATAGGGAGAAAAGGGCTTGTCCAGTGTAAACCTAGTGGTCTTTTTGGGACAGATCAGATGCCTCTTTGCCAAGTTGGTCTTTGGGAGGGACGCCCAAGATCAATACCAACGATCCATTAGGGATTCCAAGCGAGCCCAAACCCCCCAATGAGTGATTAGATCCAAGATTATGAGATCAAGGTAGAAGATCTCAAATCTTTCATCAATTCATTATCACTAGCTCAATCCATAAATCATATTTTCTCACTTCCTATTTGTTGGCTTCAATAAAGAAGTAAATCTATTACTAGCTAGTTTCTATCTTTGTGCTTATTGTTTAATGCTTTTTCTTACAAAGTTGCCAATAGAAGTATCGGAGAACTCGTGATGTCTATTCGTTGGATTCTCGCTAGTCCACCTTGATAGTCATGTATATTATCCCCCACTTGATTGGTTATATGCAAAATGATTGAGACGAGACATGACAAATGCCGTCGAACATGGAAAGATGACAAACATAGTGGTGGTGTAAAGACGATTTGGATTGAGATTGTCCTATGGAGTATATCAATGTGCTCATCGAAGTTTTTCTGTGGACTAAATCACTTCGTTTTGGTTAGTATCCTTCATTTCGCTTACATTGCTAGAGTATTCGTCGGGAATACTCTGGATTTGTATATGATTTCTCTTAAATTTCGATTCTATCGTATGATTTAGAGTTGATTTTTGTGGTGAAAAACTTATCTTATACTTATAAAGGAAAAGGTATTTGTTGTAGGAAGCATCTATTGTGTAGGACAAAGAGACTACTTTCTTCATAGCGTGTTGATCATGTATGTTTCTAAGTTCTAATCTACTATGGATCGTGAGGGTGTGTGAGATACTCATTTGTCCAACTGCCTTCGTTGAAAAAGAATGGAAGTACATTGTAAGCAATTATAGAACATTGCTACTATTGTTTAGGTTCATGTTAAGAAGGATTGTTTCCCTTGATTGTTGCCTTAATAAGTCAATCTTAGGTTTCAAGATCACTGAATAGCTCCCTAAATCAAGATTAGCTTAGTCGTTCAAGTTTACATCCTAAATAAGTTCATGAGAGTCGACTTCCCAATTAATAGGGCCATTTTCAGCTTGTCCCAATTTGAAACACCCCCTTAGAAGTGAATAAATGTTTATTTTCCAGATAGACCCAAACTATTATTGTATCTTGGGCTTTGAGGCTAGAAAAGCCCCCTTCACTTCATGGGTTAGAGTACAATGAGATGGTTACTAGGCTATGTCAAGTAGAGCTATCTATTAGTGATATCAATGTATGGTTCTGCTTTGATGCTTCAAGAAGTAGGGCCATTCAATTTGAAGGGCTAGAGTATAGTGATATAAATGTATAGTTAAGCTAAGCTAGATGAGATGATATAATAAAAGGCTTAACCTTGTTCTCCACTATCATGGTAAAGATAGACGAAAACCCCTCTGACCTACTCACATTATTGACCCATTTAATTGTGTCTTAGGAGATTACTCAATATTACAAAGAACCTTTGTATACGCATAACCATTTAAGGTGTAACATTGCTTTGTACACGTCATTATCCTAGTAAAGAACAACAAAGAACCTCAGTTGCCATAACCACATAGTCAACTCGTGGAAGTGTGTGTCTGATGTGATTACTTCCCCCCCCCCCCCCCCCCTCTCTCTTGTGATTCGTATACGAAATTTTACGTGCGTGCTTTACTCATAGATTATGATCTCGTCTGTTACAGCGTTACAAACATTCTAAAGCGGTATCGGAATCAAAATGATGCCAATGATGCAGAGGTGATTGGTTACTTTTGGTATAAATGGAAAAAAAAAGATCCTAGTAACCATGACTAATTTCTTCCATGATTACGTTATTATCTAAAACAACAACTATCTGATATTCTCTCTCTCTATAGAGTAGCAATGATGGTCTAACAGGAGTCTCTCCCGCTGCACTATTGCAAATTATCCAGAGGTAACCATTGTTTCCTATGGCAATTTGCTTTCAGACTGGAAAAGATTTCTTAGTGGGGCATTGTTACAGTGCAGGTATGTTGTTGAAGATCCAGCTGATTATGTACAGTTGACCCTGAATGACCTTGAACAGTTAGAAGAGCAAATTGAACTGGCTCTAACGCAAATCAAAGCTAGAAAGGTTGGCTTTTTTTAGCTGCTTTGAAGATTCAGAATATCAATTGATGCTTTGTTTGAACAGTCAGAATACAATATGCTGTTTCCAGCATTTATGAGCATGGTTAGGGGTATGCATCCATTTGCTTGATATCTTTATGTCAACTTCTTCGTGTGATAAGTTAGATGTTGTCTGATACAAGTAGCTACTAGGCTTCAAACTGATCATACAGGTCATTTCTATTTCTTCTTCTTCTTCTTCCCTATTTGGTATGAAAGCAAGAAACCCAAGATGGCTTTTGTCAACCCTTTTGTGTTATTTGCTTAGATGTTTAATACCTATCATTATTACTACCAATTATCTCTAATCTTGTATGAGACTACCTATAATAGCTAGTTGGGAGTTTATATCTTTCATTCTCCAGCATCCACAGATGCTGCTAGCTCATATCTACTTGTCAGCTGGACGTTGTTTCCGACTAACTTTCTTTTGTTAAGCAACCAAAATGTTTCCCCTGAGCAGCTTTTTCTAAATCTTTCCCCTGACTTCTGGCTTGTAGATGCAACTGATGTTGGAGCCCTTAAAGACCCTTCAGGAACAGGTACTCAATTGTGGCAAGGATTTTCAGTATTTTGTATCTTGTGTTCTATGCTTTAACAAGTTCACAGTGGCTTATACACTTCCTCTACCTAGATAATCTGCCCTTATGGCTTATACACTTCCTAGTTTTGCAATAATGGTTACCTAGTTGTTGGCTTCCACCAATTTTAGCAGACTCATTGTTGTTTTGCCGAATCATTTACCCCACTGGCAGGAAAGCAAGCTTAAGGAGGAAAATGAGCTCCTAAAGCAACAGGTTAGAAGTCCTTTTCATTACTTTCAGCATTAAGTGATGCCCATCGATTTCACTACATACCTTTATGATAGTTCATTTTTTACTTTACAAGTCATGAATCCTAACCATTCAAAACAGAGGTTATCAAATTTGACCTCGATAAACTGGTGCGGACTATATTGTGTTGTAATGTGAATTTATGATAGCAAGGTACTTGCTGTAGACAGGGATGACAATTTTGACCTGACCTGTTTGGCTTGTTTTGAGGCGGGGCGGGCATGGGTACTCTCATCAACCCGACCTGTCCTGACCCGCCCCATTCTCGACCCGTTCTTTCCTAAATTACATGTAACCTTAGTCAAATTACTTAGGATTTTTCTTTTATTACATCATAATATAGCTATAATAAAGTTGTAAATTAGTGAAAACCTCAATTTCTCTAATAATTTAACTACATTTATCATAATATTGTTTGTTTCCTTGGTCTTATAATAAAAATAACGAATATTTCTAATGTTTTTCATATAAATTGCATACTCATTGGGTCGACCTGCCCTGACCTGCGACACGTGATAAATTATCCGACCTGCCACGGGTCGGGTCTGGGTACCAAGAAACCCGCCCCGGACCTGCCCCATTGCCATTCCTAGCTGTATATCGTTTCATGGTGGTACATTGGATTCATTCCATCCCTCTGCAAATTATAATTCCCTAAGGGTCCTCTAGATGGAGTAAATCTAGAATAGCATATAATGTTGATGATACCTTGCATTCCATTGACTTGTGCTTTTCTCAATCTGCTGATATAAATTAAATCTCTCTGAGTCTTGACCCTTCAAAACACAGATCAATATATTTCAGTCCCGATGGAATAGAGACAATATACAAAGAACACGTAGATCGAGAAGCAAACATGCTATTGTATGTCATTTCATTTTCAATGGTGTTAAGGGTTCAACCAAAGCTGTGTGTGTGCTTACAGATTTCAGCAGCCGCGAGCGATAACAACACTGCCTATGGCGCCATCAAGGGCTCGGAGCAAGCTGTGGTGCAAGCGGCGACTCTGCAGTTACTTCATTAGGAGGCGGAGAAGGCTTCCCTGAACCAGATTCTCAACCCTGCGTAGCAATCTTTTGGGAAGCAGGCAAAGCTTATACAAAAAATAAAATTGCGATAGTAATCTGGCATCCCAATTGTACTGTTGTGAGCTCTTGTCGAAAAGTAAGTGTTATATTGTGTACCCTGGCACAACAACTATTGATATCTGTGAGTGTGACTTCAGACTTCGGATGATGTACTGTTAACTCCATTATATTGAACAAGCTAGTGCTGGTGTTTTCGGGAAGGGACCTTCACCTTGGTAATAAGGCTACAAATGAACCAAGTTGTTCACAAGCGGCTGAATGTTTGGCTGGGAATTCATTTGAGATTCGACTTGTATATTAATAAGTCTAGTTTGAATTAAGCTTTGTTCAGCTTGCAAGACTCGCAGCGTAAACTTGTATGTTTTGAGCTCATAAGATGTCTCAATATTGCGGCTAGTGAGCTAACTAGATTACCAACTTATGAGCAAACTTATCTGTATCTTATGAGTTGCCATGTTGAACATTTATAGGTTCGCTAAATATATATCTCACCACTTATAATGTTATGTGAGTAAATACGTTGCATTAGAAGTAATGCATCTATATTTGTTAGATACTAATTACTGGATTAAAAACATGATATGAACTTGTAGAACTTTATGTTCTTAGAGATTAATTTATGAATATATAATACATTACACACAAATATTGAGGAATTTAATTTATAAATTATCTTAGAATTTAACTTAAGGGTTCAACTATTTAGAATAAATGAGTTAGTTTGGGCCAAATTCGTGATCTTATTGATGAGCTAAACTCGAGTATGGTCTGTGAGCTCATTAATGAGTCCACCTCAATACAAACACGATCTATAAAGCAAGTATTTGTCTAATTGTACTATTCGAGATAACAACAATCTAACAACATCCGATCCATTCCAAATCATTTATTTGTATAGTTTTATTCTCATTCCTCATTATCATCGGTTGATCCTTGATAATAAAGTATTTTGAATAGCCTATCTTGAAACCTACCACCTATAATATCTTTTGAAAAAATCATGCAATCAACATGCGAGTTGAATAAAACACTTGCTCGTTACTTGTCTACTTAAAATCATCAGACTTCAAATCTCTAGATAATCAAACTGGATTGCAACACCTCATACAAATACAAATGGAGTTATACTATTCGACAGAGAGCCTATAATCAAAGGCGCGCGTCAACTAACAGTGGGGAACAAAAGACGAAAGAAGGAAACTCGGAGTACCTCGATCAAGCTTTTGCTCCAGAGAGAGTAGAGAACAGAGCTTCAAGAACAGAGGAGGGTAATGGCGAATCTATATATACAGAAATGGAGAGCTTGTGGTCTCAACTGTAAGGATTTCTTCAAAGCTGGATTGGATTTTGGAAAGGAGAAAGCAAAGCAAATGTGTTGTGCTTTTGGAAACCAGAAGAACGCAAGTTGTATGAAAAAAGAAGATGGGTTTAGTTTAGGGGGTGGAAAGGCCGGCCGCCGTAGCATATCGCCAAAGGGCAATAGCGGCTTCCCTTCCCTTGTGAAGTTTGCTGTTTGTTAGGGCAGGACAAGCGGCAACTTTTAGACACTACTCACAAGGCAAGTTGGGGGATTCCCAAGCCAAAATTAAAGAAAGAAGACAATATGGCTAAGTATCCACTTTTCATTTCATCATCACAACCTCCTAATAATTTATTCTCTTCTTTCTCGGTTACTACGTTCCCTTTGTTGGAATGCTGAATCTTACACTATGTTCATGAAGGAAGGGAGGAAAAGGAGGGGAGGTGAAGGAAAATTAGAAGGGGAGAGGAGATTTGGAGGTGAAGGAAATTGGAAGGAAAATGTTGTTTTATGGAGGAAAGTGGGAAGGAAAGTGTGTATTGGGAAGTGTGATAAATATGTTATTTTATTGGTTATGTAATAGTAAATAGATATTTTATTTATTTAAAAACCGTGATTTAACCGCAATTAATTAAAAATAGAGACTTTATAATAATTGATCAAGCATTCTAAATACCCTACTTTCTCGGCATAGCCTCTGGCACAGTTTCGTAATCCTTGATATTACACTCAAATCTATCAACACCCAATTAATAAAGAAACCTACTTAAGTATTAATTTAATTAATTTGAACAATGGAGACCATAAAAAAACCTACTTAATCTAAACTTAGGTAGCGAAGCGAGAGCGTCTAGCGTTTATTTTTCAAAAACTCAATATTAAGAGCGTGAACAGAGCGTTAATATTATATTATTTTAATATATAAATAATAAATATATTATTTTTATTATAAATAATGTTAATACCAAACGCTTCTACGTAGAATCGTGCTTTTGACCGCATTAAATTGTCATTATCTTAGTTATGAGGATTAATACCGATTATTAAAAAAAATAGATAACAAATTTTACTTATTCTTATCCTTATCTATAACCCACGACCATCTCCTTCTCATTTTTTATTATGCTTCATTTTCTCATTTTAACTAAACACAATAAATATGATGTCGTGAGCCCAAAAATCTTGTTACGAATCAATTCGGTGGGTGTGTGGCGCCCGTTTTCCTCATCGTATCTCAGTTAATTTGGAGCGACTCACGAGTTGACCTTCATTACAACTCATAATAATATTTGTCTTCATCCATAATTATCCCCTCAAATTTTTCCCTACCTCTCTTAAAATTATATTCTTAGTTAATTAATAACTAAGAGGACGTAAACCATTACTCTTCCATTTTGTAATTATGTTAACAAATAATAATAGTTTATTAGTTAATCATCTATAATAGGTGATCATAAAATAAAACTTAATTAATTCCTTTATAGCAAGTGGTAGTGAAGAACTTTCTCTCCAAATTGGAGGGGTGGGTTCTACAGAAAATTTTCTCTTCTGTTTTCCCTTCCTTTGCACTTTTCCTTCCTTAAAAAACAGAGGAAAGTTTATGGAAAACTGTGCTTTCCATCCCACTTTTCCCTCCCCTCCCCTTTCCTCCCTTTTCTCTCCTTCTTGAACACAGTGTTAGGGTACCTCAGTCCTCATACCATAATCAAACACGGGGATTTCACACGTCTAGTCTATTGGGTTGAAACGAAGGATGTTTTATCTAGTCCAGCTCGTAGGCTCGATTCGATTTTGGTTGGTTAACCACTAAACAAAAAAATGCATATCGATAAGAGTTAATGGTTAATCGCTTATTATCGAATCGGTTAGTTGTTAGTTTGGTGATTAACAACTAACAAATAACAACATTCACATGTGACCTTTTTTTTTTTGTTATTTTGAAATATTGTACGGCTTCCTTTTTAATTGTAAAATATAATCATACAAATAACTCAAAACAATTTAACTTAAACAAATTAGATAATAACTACAAGAAATATGATCAATCCAATACAACACTATCGTGAATAAACAATCCAAATCCAAACACCTAAAATTACAAATAATCAAAAGTCTTCATCCAATTAGCGAGTACCAACTAGCAATACATCAAACACAAGTACCTCATCATTGATTTTGAATCTGAAAGTTACAGGTTCGAATCCCTTCAATAACACCTCACTATTATAAAAAAAAAAACTCATTACCCTTACATAAAATAAAATAAAAATGGGAATAACCTTAATTCCGAATGGGAAGGTATTGAGATCACACTAATAAACTTACAGGAACATCATTGTATATGATTCCCTTAGGCCTTGTTCGGCTGAATTGCCTACTGTGTTGCTGGAAGGAGATGATGGACAACATTTTTATACACTAATATTACAATACTTTAGTCATTCAAATTCATGGTAGAGAATTTATGTTAGAGTATAATATGTCACTTGTTATGTATTTTTAACAAACATCCTCTTCAATTATTATTACATAAAAATACAAATGTGCTTCAGAAATATTATTATCATACATGCTCACTCTGTTAAAGTTTCAGTTCAAAAACAGTTAACCACAATTGAACATGGTTTGGGCGAAAATGGTCTAAATTACTCCTAATAATTGAACTTTCAACATATTTCTTCTTCTACTGTATAGCACAATACATCTACAAATTTTACTTTAACGAGATTTAGAGAAATGAAATGAGGAGCAAAACTAACATCTCCCCCTTTTTAACAAGGTCAAGTCATCCAAACCATGGGTCGACTATGATTGGCGAATTTTAGATGAAAAATTTAAAAGAAACATATGTTTGATAATATTTCTAAAGCACGACAGTATATTTGATGTAAAAATTAATAAATGTGTATGTTTATATAAAAAAAAAAGACAGTAGATAAAGTACATTATCCCTATAACCCTTTATTTTAGAGACTGAAAAAATTAATTTATTGATCTAATTTTGAAAAGGCGAATCATATTGACTTATTAAGAGAAGTACTATACTATTAATCATCGCTCATTGGATAAACAACTGGTATACTTTTCCTAGAGCTAAAAATATAGTATCACCTGAAATTATATTTTCCCCCCACGGTACGTGGATTGGAAGCGGGCCTGAAAGCTGGATTGCTGTTCCAAGAAAGCAAACTCGTCGGCCCGCCTACAATCCTTACGTGGGCCTTCTCCCAGTTCTTCCAGTCTTCCCATGACCCGTCGAACTCTTTTTTGCTTCATAATCATTTATTTTTCCTTAAATCATTCCAAGCAATCCGCTTTTCCCCACTGATACATTTAACAATTAACACCATTTTGAATATGATCCCAAAAAGAAATCGTGGGTCATCAAAAGCATTAATCGAAAGACAAGCTAGTCCAAATCAATCTATGAGAAAAGTGACTTTTACCAACAAGTGAAATATGTTGTAAGAAGTGTTGAAATTGTTATATATGTGATATGTAACACTTTTAGTAGTGTTACTTAAACGTGACGTTACCTAAAGTAATATATAACTTTTTTTTAACTTTTTGCAACAACAAAAATTTGTTGCGCATGGATACCTTATACGCAACATCATTTTAAGCAATACCTCCAAAAGTTATGCAACACTTTTTGGAGAATATAACCAACATATACATGCTTTCATTATGGCAATTTTAATCGTCACATAAGATAAACTCAGCCGTGAAACTTTCAATTGTAACAAATATTGTGACTCTTTTGTATCGTCTCCAAATGTATTTCAAATATTGGTAGTTTAAAATACTCAACCCTGAATTATGAAAGGAGAGGAGAAGTTTGGTAGTTAAACAGTCAACCCTTGAGTTGTAACTTGGCAAAGCGCTTATGTTCAAATCACAAAATTATTTGCGTCCAAGTTAAGCTAGAAAACGACATTCCTACAACACATACAAGACTGGTTCAACAACACTTTCACAGGCGATACATACATCCAAATATCATCATTTGTATGGATGTCTGGCAATGCAGTCAAAATCATAATTTTGTGTAAAATTAAAAATTAAGATAAAATCGAAATCGTATATTAAAATTATGAATCTTAATATTATTAGATTCATATTAAAATTAACACCTAAAATATCACTATAGTAATAACAATGGACATCCTTAATAACAATCAACCACGTATCACTTTTTACTTGTCAAAATAAGTGTTTGTCTGCTAAATAAACTCAAATTAATAATAGATTTGTTCTTGTGTATGTCGTGTGGGTTTAGAATGTGTGAGAAGTAGATGACAGTGACACCAGCTAAAGGAGATGCTTAACTTGGTCAATGCCACTTCCAAAGAGCGCACCAATCAATCTCTGAAGCCACCAGGTAATTTTTCGCCGCCAATGCAAATGCTAACCCAATCCTACATAAGCTTTACTGTCCTAAGTTGGGATGCGTTCACTTACCAGAATTACATCATCGACTATTTAAAAGTGGAATTTCGAAAATAAAATTATAAATATCGGTTTTGTTTTCGGTGTACTCACTATTTTACACTCCAAATCGTGTTTTAAGAGTTAAAATCTTATACTTTTACACTTCTATATTATCAAAACGCTTCTATGCTTAAGAAAGGGCCCGGATTGTATGACACGAAGCCCACACGTGTTCATAGTTCCTGTTTTGCAAGAATGAACCCAAGGAGTTGAAGAGAGGTTGACAATCTTTATTCATTAACCAACAGAAGAGCTTTAGTATCAATTTGTAATTTGTTGAGAAGACAATTAATATCATAGAGATTTACAACTTGAATGAAAAATATACTCACTCGTGATTTACATCTCACATACTTTTCATTTCGGATATGATTAGAATTTTAAACCATAATTCAAAAATGGTATAGAAAAAAACGAGCATATAAGTAGAAACTAGAAAGCCAAAACACGCCTAACATGTGCAACTAGCTCTATGATGTTAGTATATTGTAGAAAAACTACTGTAGAGATAACATTATTGAAATCATTTCTTGATGAAGAGATAACATTAATGAAGTTTGTTATGATCGGCCCTTCTCAATTATTTAGATCCATTCATGATTTTGCCATCCCCGACCCACCTAACCTAACACATTAATGAAGTTTGTTATGGGTCCTGTTGGTGCGAGAATTGCATGTTCATTTTAATTACCTCTAAAAAACTAAAAGTGGTATGTTTTTTTTTATAACCCAGGAATCTTAACCCACGTGCTGACGTGCACTTTGTGACAGCGGGGTCTACCAAATCTGGGGAGTAACTGTACAAGACACAATATCGAGGGACTTCGTCCCCGGTACTCAGAGGTGCATCCGGGAACACACAAGCGGCGCCGTTGGGAATCGAACTCAGAACCTCTCACTTCCACAACCGACCAGGTCAGCGGTTTCACCAGCTAGGCTATATTACCTTTGGCAAAAATGTTGGGATGAAACTGTTTGTGTAATGTTTTAAATGTTTTTAGCAATTAATGTTTTAAATGTTAGAAGCAACAGTTGTCTTTCGGATCTTGATGAAGACACGTGTAACACGCAATACATGTCATTCACACAAATGGGGGAACATTAATAAATAAAGAGTTAAAGACATATCAGTAAGACAGAGGGAAAGTTTGACTTTAATGGCGCAGCTATTGCAATTAAGTAAAGTCTTAGGAGAGTAAATGTTTTTTTTAATGCGCTTAGGCCCCTAAATTTCAATCTGGAAGGAAAGAAAGAACTACTCCTCCACCAAAGGTAAGATAGCCTAACGGTAAAGCTGCCGCAACAGTGAAGGCTTGGGAGTTGCAGATCCCAGGTTCGAATCCAAGCGAGGCCCGTTGGTGTTCCCGGAGGTACAAGGCTGCTGGGGGCGAAGCCCCGTTGGCGTCAAATTAAATGCAGGTGGCCCCCAGGTTTAGTAGGACCCGCTGTCACAAAGTGGCACGTGGGGTTGAGGTTCCTGGGTATCAAAAAAAAAAAAAAAAAAAAAAAAAAAAACTACTCCTCCACTGGCGTAGCCTTTAAAATTAAGAAAAGCCAAAGCTGCAGTCGCTTCCAATTTGCTGTTAGTATTACGCTCGATGGACATTCGCGATTTTCACAAAAGCTTAGAGAAACAAGGCAAAGCCTGAATATTAGGTGACTTCTTCCAAACCAATGACACTGCCTTGCGTGTCTACTGGAGAAATAAAATGTTTACATGTTTAGAATCGAGAGGAAGGAAAAGCAATTATAAAGTACTTTTATTTAACAATGTAGAAGGGATATAATTAGGGTTAATTGTATGGTTGGTCACTGAGATTACAAAAAACGTTCATGTTTGGTCACTGGAAATATTTAAATCCAACCTTGGTCACTCAAATTAGTTAAATGGTTCAAATTTGGTCACTCTCCGTCCAACTCCGTTAAATTTGTCTGATGTGGCACTCAACCCTCAAAATTGACCTTTAACTCGGTGACGTGGCAATTAAAAAATAATAAATAAAATAAATTTGAGGGTTGACTGAGAGTGACCACCGTCATCCTCTACGACCTCGTCTGCGCCGGCAGCGTCAACCCCGACTACTTCGACTTCCACCGCTACACCACCCTCGAACCTTACGTTGACGACCTCCTCAACATCCTCTACGCCCACCGCATCGACCGCTGCGCCTACGTCGGCCACTCCGTCTCGGCCATGATCGGCCTCCTCGCCTCCATCCGCCGCCCGAGCTCTTCTCCAAGCTCATCCTCATCGGCGCCTCCCCCAGGTCCCCAATTTCAAAATCCCACTTTAATTTTCAACGAAATCGAATCCAGATTTCGGAAATTTCTAATTGAGAGAGGTTTCGGTTTGTGGGGGTTTTAGGTTTCCGAACGACAAGGACTACCACGGGGGCTACGAACAGAGCGAGATCGAGGAGGTTTTCAAAGCGATGGAGGCGAATTACGAGGCGTGGGTGCAGGGATTCGCGCCGCTGGCGCTGGGGGCGGACGTGCCGGCGGCGGTGAGGGAGTTCACCAGGACGCTGTTCAACATGAGGCCGGACATCACGTTGTTCGTGTCGAGACAAGTGGAGGCGAGGAGGCCGATCATGGCGGTCGACGCGGTGGGCATCGAGGATATTGAGGAGGTCGTCGACGTAAGGGTCGAGGGTGGTGTAGCGGTGGAAGTCAAAATATTCGGGGTTGACGCTGCCGGCGCAGACGAAGTCGTAGAGGATGACGGTTGTCACTCTCAGTCAACCCTCAAATTTATTTTATTTATTATTTTTTAATTGCCACGTCACCGAGTTAACGGTCAACTTTGAGGGTTGACTGCCACATCAGATAAATTTAACGGAGTTGGACGGAGAGTGACCAAATTTGAACCATTTAACTAATTTGAGTGACCAAGGTTGGATTTAAATATTTTCAGTGACCAAACATGAACGTTTTTTGTAATCTCAGTGACCAACCATACAATTAACCTGATATAATTAGGTGCCTATAACAATTCACAAAGAGAACAGTACTTCTAGTTTATGTAATCCCCAAGTTGCTAGATTCTTTGATTACGGAGATGATGATTATATTCAGAATGAATGGTTGGAGAAAAAACGTACAGAGATAAAGTAAAGTAGTTGTATTTATAGTCTAACCCAGTAACTAACTCTAACTAATCCTATGGCTATTTACATTCTAATCATCTAACTTGTTGTAAGTTTACATTATGGTCCTATATTCTAATAAACACGCCCCCCCAAAGCTAAACATGCATAGACTTCATGTAAGCTTGGAGATTTTCAATGAATGTATGCACATGTAAGGCTTTAGTGATAGGGATGGCAAAAATATCCGTAACCGTGGATATTCGCCCGAACCCGGCCTAAACGGGTAGGGCAAAACCCGTACCCGAAGGATATTTAGTGGGTACGGGTAAAACCCGAACCCGAATATTGCGGGTCATGGGTGGGCATGGGTTTCTCACTATCCAACCCGAACCCGCCCGATTATACACATACATATGTATTTTGTCTATAAATAATCATTATATTTCTCTAACATATTTTATATTTAGCATATAAATATAATATTTTCATGAAATTGTGTTGTTTTAATTAATTTTCTTCATTCTAGTGAATTATTGTCATACTTTTCCTCTTAAGTAATGTGAGAATACGTGTGAATGTTTACATATTGGTTGGAGTTATGAAGAGAAATCGTTACCCATGGATAACCGTGGATACCCGAAACCCGAACGGGTATGGGCATGGTTTTAATTTTCTACCCGTTTCACATATGGGTATGGGTATGGGTAAAACCCGAACTACTTTGGGTAGGGTAACGGATATGCACTATCTGTCCCCGACCCGACCCATTGCCATCCCTATTTAGTGAAGGGATCTGCAAGTTGAAGGGTGGTGGAGATGTGTTGAACTTTCAACCGCTTGGCAAGCACTTGATCGCGTGTGAAGTGACAATCGACCTCTATATGCTCGGTCCATTCATGTTGGATTGGATTCTCTGTCATCTTTACTGCGGGAAAACTGTCACAATAGATGAAATATGGTTGCGTAGGCTGGACTGGAAGCTGCTGAAAGAGATATGTCATCCACTAAAGTTCCTGGGAGGTGTCTGCAAGCACCCGATATTCAGCTTCTGCTGATGATCTGGAAACCGTCTGCTGCTTCTTGGACCTCCAGCTGACGAGAGAAGACCCTAGAAAAACATAAAAACCAGTTACAGAACGTTGAGTGTCAAGGCATCCTGCCCAATCCGAGTCAGAAAAAAGCAGTTAATTTGATGCTGGAATTAGAAGGGAAGAAGAGTCCTTTAGCAGGATTGGTTTTAAGGTAACGAAGAAGTTTATGTGTAGCTATTTCATGACTAGTAGTAGGAGAATCTAGGTACTGACTAAGCTGATTGACAGTGTAGCAAATGTCTGGCCTAGTGTTACATAGATACTGAAGTCTGCCTATCAGAGTTCTAAAAATACTGTGAGCAGCAGCATTAAGTGGTTCACCATCAGTGCTAGATAGGTGAGTTGCAGGGACAGAAGGTGTAGTAGTAGGCTTAGAAGCCAAGAAACCAGTATCAGAGAGTAAATCCAGAGCATATTTATGTTGGCACAAATGAATGCCAGATTCTGATATGGAGACTTCCATGCCAAGGAAATACTTAAGCTGGCCAAGGTCTTTGATAGTGAATTTATCATCTAAATGCTTTTTGACTCTCTATATTTCAGGAAGACAATTACCAGTTAAAATGATATAGTCTACATAAACTAGTAAAGGAGTGAAATTGCTATCATGACTTTTGGTAAACAAAGAATAGTCACAGTTTGACTTCCTATAGCCTAATTCTTCAAGAGTTTCAGCTAGTTTGACAAACCATTGACGACTAGCCTGTTTGAGACCATATAGGGACTTGGTTAATTTGCAGACTTTAAGCTTGTCTGCTGGTGCAACCTGGAGACCAAGGGGAAGTGCCATGTATACCTCTTCATTGAGGTCACCATGTAAAAATGTTGTGTTAACGTCCAGCTGTTCAAGAAACCAGTTTTTAGTAGAATCTACTGCAAGTAAAATGCGAACAATAGTCATTTTAACAACAGGGTAAAAGTGTCTAAATAGTCAACCCCAGGAGTTTGAGTATATCCTTTTGCAACTAGTCTAGCTTTGAATTTATTAAGGCTACCATCAGAGAGGAATTTTATTATAAAAACCCATTTGTTACCAATTATTGGTTTGCTGAGAGGAGGATCTACTAATACCCAGGTCTTTGTTTTGAGAAGAGATACTAGTTCAGACTGAACTGCTTTTAACCATTCTTCATATTGAGCAGCTTCTTTGAATGAATTTGGTTCTCTAAGAAGACCAATGACAAGTGCAAATTTTCTGTGGTTGGGACCAGTGTAGTCAAAATCGCGCTTTAAAGCGTAAAATCGTACGATTTTACGTTTCTAGGGTAGAAAAACGTTTCAAATCACTAATAAAATCGTTTTTCACTCAAAATCGGTCAAAAGCGTTAGTAGAATCGTTAAAATCGATGAAATCGTATAAAATCGCGTTTTCAAACCGATTTTATCCGATTTCAAGCAAAGGAGAAAACTGCCTCCACCAAACCAAAACAACGCCGTTTTGTGCACTTCGGACAAAAAAGAAGAAGGGAATAGGGTGGATATCGGGACGAGGCTGCCAAACTCTTCCAAAATCCCTAATCGTTGTCTCCTGTCTCCAGCACTCCAACGAGGCAGGCCTGGCGCCGCCCTCCTTACTCGTCATCGCCTGTCGCTGCCGTCGCGAGGCAGGCCTTCCAGGCTCCAGCGAAGAATCTGCAGCTGCTACAAGGCTTTCAACCGTTGCCGCCAGTCCACCACCTTCCAGCGAAGAATTTGCAGCTTCTACAAGGCTCCAAGCCTCCAACACGGCAGCGTCCGTCGCTTATCGCCCATCGGACTTGTCATCGCCTGTCGCCACTCGCCGACGACACAACTGGTTAGTTTCTGTCTCTTCCTTGTCCTAGCCCATCGCCACTTCAGTCTTCACCAATTTGAGTAGTTGTGTTTCATTGTACATCAGTAACTATGAAGATTCGTAGTCTACTCAATGAAGGGGAAAGCAATTGTTTTTATTAGTTCCTAGGACAAAGAGATGGATTGTACGATTAATTAATATAGAGGCGGAGGCGGAAACAACGGTGGCTGTTGTAGTGGTGGGAGATCGATGGATCGAAGAGTACAGCGGAGAGCCATGTGGTCATGGCTCGATAATAGTTTGTTTTAATTTAGACATGAATTGCAGGTATTTATTCTTTTATTTAAACTCGGTGCACTCATATTTTACATAGTTTATGGCGTATTTAACAGATTTTTAATTATTATACAGGATGCATAAAAACTTACGCTTTTACGCTTTGATTCACCGCTTTTCGATTTTACCCCTTTTACGCTTTTAGGTAGAATCGCGCTTTTGATTGCATTGGTTGGGACTTAAACTATTGTAAGTCAGTATATCCTGGATATGATGCACTATGGTGGAATCTGTATTGGTAGTTGTACCAATTAGATTACATTTATAGTCTTTTAATTTTACTGGTTTAATGATTTGACGAGTAGATCTCCTTAAGGTAGGAGGCTGAGGGAGAACAGGAGTAGGGAAAGGTACAGTTGTTGGAGGAACTGTAATAAGTGACTGATCTGTAATAGGAGAAGAAGAAGGTACAGTAGTAGGAGAGACTGTACTTAATGGAACAGTGGTAGTAAGTGATTCTGATCTATCAGTTGTGTGTATAGAAATAAGATCAGTTAAGGATAGTGAGTCTGGAAAGACAGGTAAGGGAACCGAGGGAGTGACCTCAGTACTGTCCTTATAAAAAGGAAAGATATCTTTATGAAACACAACATCTCTAGATATAAAAATGGCATGTGTATTTATATTATATAATATGTATCCTTTAGTGCCATGAGGATAACCTAGAAACACACTAGGTATGGCTCGAGAATCTAATTTGGTTCTGAGAGATTGGATAGTTGATGCATAAGTGAGACAACCAAACACTTTAAAATGACTAAGTTCAGCTGGTTGGCCATGTAGCTTTTCATATGGAGTAGAATTATCCAGCAAAGGTGTTGGGGATCTGTTTATCAGGTGAACAACATGCATAGCAGCAAAATGCCAGAAGTGAGAAGGTAAATGAGCCAGAAAAAGGAGTGATCTGGTTACTGCTAAGATGTGTTGGTGTTTCCTCTCAACAATGCCATTTTGTTGAGAGGTATACACACAGGTAGTCTGATGAACGACACCTTTGGATCTATAAAAGTCTGGAATTTGAAACTCTAGACCATTGTCCGTCCTAATATTCTGAATTTTGGAATTAAACTGAGCTGAAATATACTCAAAAAAGGTAATGATAATGTTTCTGGCCTCAGATTTATGCTTCATTGAGAAAATCCAAGTATGTCTGGAAAAGTTATCAACAATTGTACGAAAGTAGAGATGACCATTTAATGACTTGGAAGGGGCATTACCCCAGATGTCAATATGCAACAACTGAAAAGGAGTTACAGAGGTACTTTTACTTGTAGGAAAAGGTAATCTCTTATGTTTTGCTAGAGGGCAAACATGACAGTGAGGATTATCAGTACTGGATACAGATGGACTACTGAGATGTAAAGATAACAGTTTTGTGTGAGGAAGATGACCAAGTCTATAATGCCAGATGTTGAACTGCTGTTTTGCTGTAGAAAAGAATGCTACATAATGTGTTTGAGTAGGCTGAGAAGGGATAGATGAGA